TCCGAAATACTCACGGCCGGCGCTGTCTCGGCCAATCCTGCCCAGAAATCCTTCTACGAAAATGACCGGAGTACTCACGGTCGGCATTAACGGAGGTAATACTGGTGGTCACAAGTATTGTCACAGGCCCGGAATAATCGCCGACGGCACTGTCGCAGCTAATTCTGACCAGCGAAACCTACTACGAAAATGCCCGGAATACTCACAGACAGCAAAATCGGAGGTAACACTGGCAGCCCTAACTAATGCGCAAATGCCCGGAATTCTCGCAGACGGCACAGTCGCGGCTAATTCTGGCAAGCGAAACCTACTACGAAAATGCCCGGAATACTCACAGACAGCAAAATCGGAGGTAATACTGCCAGCCCTAACTAATGCGCAAATGCCCGGAATACTCGCAGACGGCACTGTCGCGGCTATTTCTGGCACGCAAATCCTACTACGAAAATGCCCGGAATACTCACAGACAGCAAAATCGGAGGTATTACGGCCAGCCCTAACTACTGCGCAAATGCCCGGAATACTCGCAGACGGCACTGTCGCGGCTATTTCTGATACGCAAATCCTACTACGAAAATGCCCGGAATACTCGCAGACAGCAAACTCGGAGGTATTACGACCAGCCCTAACTACTGAGCATGTGCCCGGAATTCTCGCAGACGGCACTGTCGCGGCTATTTCTGGCACGCAAATCCTACTACAAAAATGCCCGGAATACTCGCAGACAGCAAAATCGGAGGTATTACGACCAGCCCTAACTACTGCGCAAATGCCCGGAATACTCCAAGACGGCACTGTCGCGGCTATTTCTGATACGCAAATCCTACTACGAAAATGCCCGGAATACTCGCAGACAGCAAAATCGGAGGTATTACTACCAGCCCTAACTACTGCGCATGTGCCCGGAATTCTCGCAGACGGCACCGGCGCGGCTACTCCTGTCGAGAAAACTACTGCGCACATGCCCGGAATACTCACAGACGGCACGATCGGGGCTTGACACTTGCACAAATAATTCTAACACTTTGATTCCGAGTTACTTTTACTTACTAATCCCTATCTGTCCCTGTCGCACTCTTTATGCTCACCCTGCTTGCCGAAGCCAGTGTTTCTGTGTCTCGTCAGTTGCTTGCTTCCACTTCCTGGCCACGCGTCGGTTGAATCTTGGACTTGGTTTCTTTCTCCGTCGTTTTCTCCGCTTTCCCAAAACTCCGAACTTTTCTCGCCGCGCACAAAAATCCAAGTCCCGGAAGTTAGTGTGGCTGTTGGTCTCGTTCCCAAGAAACCTCCCCTGTGGGATTTTATCGGGGATTTCTTCTTAGTATTTTCCATGGCGTGATCGTGGTTGGTGTCCTGGCTTCGGCGGGAAATTCAACTATTCTCCTGACTTATTCGATAGTTTTGGGTTGCCACTTAGGGCTAACTTAAAATTATTTAACTTCAGGTTTTGTCTCTTAAAACTACTGCAGTATATAGATTTAAAAACTATTGGCTATGAACTTAAACTATTTACTTAATTCTAACTATGTACATATGTGAATGTGAAAAATGTGAAGGCAAAATGTGAGACTTCACAATACTATTCTGTTGACTAAATCAGGAGGACTTTACAATTTCTCTGAGAAAGCCTTCAAACTTTTGAACTCCTATATAGCAGCAGAAGGCAGGCAGTTATAACAAATACTTTTAGGAAAAATTATGTACATGTGCGTCAAACGTGACGTTCCACAGGTCTCTGTCCTGTCCTGTCCAGAGAAGCGTGAAAGGGCCCAGAAAGCCCCGTAGAAAGACTCAAGAAGCCCGTGAGAATCACGCTGCCTTTCGGATACCCGAGAACCCCACAGGCGAATGGAGATAGTCGTCAGAAAGCTAAAGGCGATGCTGTCATTGTGCAAGCAAACGGCAAGTACTAAGCGAGTTGCTAGCCATGGTGACCAGGAGGGACGACAAGCAGTTATCGCACCTGGGTGCCTGTGAATACAAGGTAAGTTGCACAAATAATGGGAGCGCCGAGACCATAAAGGAGAGCATCGAGACGGTGATTCTGGAGATACGGAACACCGACTCCATCACCTCGAAGAAAGAGGTCTGCTATTAATTGCAAGACGTTGATGCACTATGTACAGTACATATCAAGTGGACCTTGCGACCAAGCACGTGCTGATTCGTGTTAAGTGTTAGTTGGCGCGAAGGAAATAAATTGAAAAGGATGCGAGGAAACTACTACTGGCGTGCTGGTTTGGTTGCTTGCATGCGTACTAAGTGGGTTAAGATTAATGTTCTTAGTTTAGGAAGGCTATCTACATTAGATGTAATGGTGTACAAATCATTGTAATTTGCACAGAGGACTCTAAAGGGTTCATGCAGTTCAAAGGATGTGCTACAGTGGTGCAAAACTAATGGTAAAAAGGATCTAGTGTTTCTTCTCAATACGTCAAAAGTAAGCTGACCCAGCAAGTTACCACTTTCCACGTCACCACGGATTAAGTCATATAAGAGTGTAATACCTCGCATGGTTCTACTATTCGATAAATAGGGTAAGTTAATTAGCCGGAGTTTACTAGTATAAGACGGTAAACTCTGGTTTGCATCCCAGTTTAAGCCGCGTAATGCGAATAGTAAAAAGTTCTTTTGAACCGATTCTATACGTTCACTGTGGACGGCATACTGAGGGCTCTAAGACAAGCGAAGTATTTAAAGATTTTGTAACATAGGGGTCATTAAATTCCTTCGACCACCGTTTAATGAAACCAAGCACACCCCTGGCTTTGTTCACCATGGACGAAATATGATCGAAAAAGTCAAGTTTTAGGGTCCAGACGAACACCCAAAATCATCAACTATATTAATTCTTCCCAAAGACCAGCAGTTCTGCGTATAATTTGCATTTTTCGGAACGACACGGGAGAATGTGATTAGCTTGCATTTAGAGCCACTTAAGTTTAATAAGTTCCCGCAGCACCATGTTTGAAAATTGTTAAGATCAGACTGGCAGGAAGCGTCCTTATATTGCACACAAGGTTTAACATCAGCATATCTCCGCATAAACGACATCATTTCCCTTTCCACATCGTGGCAAGCCTTGCAACAATAACGTACGCCGATATTTTTGGCCAAGTTATAGTGAGTTCACCATAAGAAATATTCTTCTTACATGTTTTTGATAAGCGGACCATATTAGAAGACATTTTACGGACACTATACCTTCGTTGTTTAAGAGAGGGCGCAAGGGATTAAGTGCAGCGGCTTTGGAAGAGCGGGAGAGCAATAGAGCGGGTGGGCGTGAGATTAAGCACTAACTGGAACTGTTTAAAGGTGGCGCGACGGCGCAGATAACAATAAATGCAGAAAACGCAACAAACTAACAAAAAATTTTAAAAAAAACCCCTGAAAAAAATCCAGTACACTTGGAACTTTTTGTTTTTTTTTTTGTTTTTGCGCGGGGTCTTGTTTTCACCTCCCGCCCAACCGACCGAGGAGCGCAGCCGTGTGACGTACGGCATGAATAGCGAACTAGATAGACGCGTTAGAATGAAAGAAGAAATGAACGAGGAAACATTAGGAGAGAACAAAAAAATTTAATTAAAAACAAGAAAGGAAGCTAACTTCGGCACGCCGAAGTTTGTATACCCTTGCAGATTGGTTTCGATGTTTATATTATAGATTTAAATGCTGAAAACACTCACAAAACAGAGTTTCACTACATTTTACCTATACTTATTATGTTTACAGTTTGACAGTTACAGTTTTACATTCCCAGTTTTACATTTTCTCTACATCTACCGATCGGTTTATATGGCAGCTATATGATATAGTTGTCCGATTTTTATGAAATTTATACCATAATTCTAGAATAATAAAAAATGCTTATATCTCAGAGTAGATAAACATACGTTGAAAAACAACGAAACTATAATTTTTGTTCCTATTTATTTCTCGATCGTTCCTATGGCAGCTATATCATATAGTCGTCCGATTTTGATAAAATTTATACCAAAATTCTAAAATAATATAGAATGGCCATATCTAAAAAATGGTGCAAAAATGTTGAAAAACATCAAAGTTCTAATTTTTTTTCTACAAATATATCGAACATTTGTATGGCAGCTATATGTTATAGTCGTCCGATCCGGCCCGTTCCGACATATATAGCAGTGAGAGCATATAGAAAACTATATGCAAAGTTTCATTCAGATAGCTTTAAAACTGAGGGACTAGTTTGCGTAGAAACAGACAGACAGACAGACGGACAGACAGACAGACGGACAGACAGTCAGACGGACAGACAGACAGACGGACAGACAGACAGACGGACATGGCTAGAGCGACTCGGCTGTTGATGCTGATCAAGAATATATATACTTTATAGGGTCGGAAACGTCTCCTTCACTGCGTTGCAAACTTCTGACTGAAATTATAATACCCTGCAAGGGTATAAAAAAAATAGAATATAATATAAATATATAAATAAAAACGCATGCAAAATTAGGAGAGAACAAAATATATATAAAAAAATATAATATTGTGAGGAGTCGTCTGACTCCCCACCAATACTGGCGGCGGCACCAACATCAGCCTTAACACCGGCCACCCGCGCCAGCAGCCGACGGCAACAACATCAGCCAGAACAACGGCCACGTCATCAACAGCGACGTCAGAAAACAGCGGCCAGCGGCCTCAACACCGGCCCGAGCAGCGGCCACAACAACAGCGCGCTCTCGCCGTCAACAACAACGACGGCCGCCACGTCACCAACGTCGACGTCATCGACAAAACGGCCACAACACCGGCCGTCGACGTCATCAACGCCGGCCACAACAAAACGGCCAGAACAGCGGCCAACAGCAGCGGCAATGGCAACGGCCAGCGCGACCAGCGAAAACAATACTTCGCGCCCGTAGCCAGCAAAAACAACCGCAGCTACGTCATCAACAGCGGCAGCGCGTATCTACAGCTCACCAAGCCAACAACAACGGCGATCAGGAGCCGGCAGCAACAACAAGCAGCAGCATCAACAATATCAAGCAGAGCAGCAAGCGATAAATAAATCCAAGTTCAAAATCTATCCTGAATTCAACAATAGTAGGAAAAATTACTAAAATGTCTGCGACTATAGTACAGAAATCTACGACAGTTGGAAATTCGCATTATTTCGAGTGCGGCGACATATTCCAAACGGTGGCCAGCGATCGTGATCGCGAACATCTCCAGCAGCAACAGCAGCAGCAAGTGGAGCTTGTCCTGGACAGGAGCAACAGGGAGCAGCAGCACCAGCAGCAGCATCGCCTGCATGGCGCCCTCACACGCACCATTTCACAGCCGGCCCAGCGCCAGCAACAGCAGCAGCTGATGCAGCAGCAACAGCCAGTGTCCAATCTGGTGACCATCATCGAGAATCTGGGCAACATGAACCTGCACCGCAAGCTAGAGCGCACACAGTCGGAGCCACTGCCGCAGCAGCCCATGAATACATCCAGATACAAGACGGAGCTATGCCGCCCCTTTGAGGAGGCCGGCGAGTGCAAGTACGGGGAGAAGTGCCAGTTTGCTCATGGCTACCATGAGCTGCGCAATCTGCAGCGTCATCCCAAGTACAAGACCGAGTACTGTCGCACCTTTCACAGTGTGGGCTTCTGCCCCTATGGGCCACGTTGCCATTTTGTTCACAATGCGGACGAGGCAAGGGCCCAGCAGGCAGCCCAGGCAGCCAAGTCGTCGTCGTCGTCGTCGTCATCGTCGTCGTCCTCGTCCTCGTCCCAGTCGCAGCAGCAGCAACAGTCACAGTCACAGTCGCAGTCGCAGATTTTCTCCTCAAAGAACAGTCAGAGCCAAGGTAACAGCAACATCAGTAGCAACAGCAGCAGCAGCAACAACAGCAGCAGCAGTCAGTTCTTCCTGCCGCTAAGCCCACCGCTAAGCATGAGCACCGGCTCTGATAGGGAATCACCCACTGGATCTCTGTCGATGAGCCCCGCCAATTCGCTGACCAGCTTCCCCTTCCACGAGGCCATGTCGCTGCAGCATCATCGCATGGCTCTGGCCCACGGCAATGGTGGTGGGGCTAGCAATAGTTCCGCCTCATCCACATCCTCGGCCTCGGGTCTGGGTCTGGGCATGGTCATGGGTCTGGGACAAAGCTTGGGACAAGCCACGCCCCCAGAGTCACCTAATGTGCCCATTTCGCCAGTGCATACACCGCCGCCATACGATGTGGAGGCCACAAACAACGGCAAGCAGTTGCTCCAGAAGAGCGTCAGCACACCGATGCAGCAGGAGGAGTCACAGACGCAGCCCAGGCTGCCGGTCTTTAATCGATTGAGCTCGGCGGTGGAGGTATTCCAGCATCAGTCCAATTTGGGGCTTTAAAGGAGCAACGAGAAGAACTCAAACATCCTTTTCCTTCCACAAAAACCCGCATCCCTCCATTGAGAAAAGAAAAGAAAAGTGAACCCACAAAGTTAGCAGCATCCTTTGACAACAACAAAATCTCAGCAAGAACGACAACAACGACAATGGACAACAACAACAACTGATGGGAAATGTAAGCAAAAACCCCAAAACTGGAACCCTGGAAGGCTGGAACTCTTGGCTTTTATGTAAATTCATCCAACGGAAGCTGGTAACTCCATATAAGTGTTTTTAAGCCGATTTTTCTCAAGCTGTGACAGTTTATAGCCGTCTATCGTTATTTATTTAAATGAAAGGACAACAACTGGGACGGAAAACAAGACGAAAAACGAACGGAAACGGACCTGAAACAGAAACGGAAGTGAAACGGAACTGAAACTGAAACGGAAACGGAAACAGAAACTGAAACAGAACTATTACAGAAACTGAAACGGAAACAGAACTGAAACAAACAGAAACTGAAACGAAAACAGAAACTGATCTAAAACAGAAACGGAAAAAGACACATAAATAGACGCAACAAAAGGACGAACGGAGATTAGATAGATGTTAGATACGTAAATGACAAAAACAAAACAAAACAAAAACAATCCATATGCAAACGATGATCTTAAACTATATATGTTAAAAAACAAACAAAAAAACCACAACATCAAACCCTTAAGCGATACACGCAGCATTCTAAAACGGAACGAAGACAAAAACTAGTTGGAAATCCTTAGAAAAAATGATTTTAAAGCAATGATATAATAACGTTTTGCTCAAAAATTTATAAAAACTTGAAAAAAACACTCAATCGTTCCTGCATTTATAAAGGTATCAGAGAAGCCCTTGTTCAATTTTTAATGATATATATACATATATATTTATAAAGATATATATATGTGATTTTGGATTAGAGATTAGAGAGAATGTGTCTTCCAAGTCAAAGTTTTAAATCAATTCATTTGGACGGGCAGAGACCAAGGAAAATCCTTTTAATTTATTTACATTTTTTTTTGCGCTAAATTTTATGTAATAGAGAGAGAGAGAGAGTTGCTGTACATATATTCTTGTATAAATTATATATATATATATTTAAACCATTTACCAATTACAATTGCAATGATCTTGGATGAATATTATATGATTATTGATGATATACCTCAGCCACAAATCACAACAACAATAACTAAACGAAACGACGAAAAAAAAAGGAGACAAAATAACTAAACAAGACAAAAGCAAAGGAGTAAACGAAGAGAAGGTTAATTGAATTTGATGAATTATAATTTTTGTTTGCATTTCAAGAAGAAAATCGAATCAAGAAACGCCGATTCGACTCAACATAATTTATTTTTCCCCCCATATCTATTCTATATAATACTTTATATATGCCAATATTTGTATATATATATAAAAAACATAAAATTATCAATGGTCAAAATATGTGTGGGTGTGTGTCTGAGTTCGTTGTGTGTGTGTTTTTTTTTTTCATAAATTATTAACATTAATTGGCATATATTTGGTGATTTTTTTTTTGTGCGAAAAATAAAAACCAAATAGTTCACTGAAGTTTAATCAACTCAACCGTCGCTTGACCCTCGTCGGAAATATTTCTCTCGACCTTTCGAAATTTTTCCTGTCGTTTGCCAGTCGATTAAATTTTTCACAGCAATATGGTCGCACGCTGGATCGCGTATCTGCGGAAGCGGGAATTGGAGGCGATTTTGAAGGAGTTTTCCTTGGAAGCAACCGGAACCGTGGAGGAAATGCGGAGCCGGCTGGCTGCTTTCAACAATCAAGATGATCACGTGCTGGAAGTCATCGAACGACTACAGGAATGTGAGGCGGAAATCAACGCCACTCTAGCGGATAGGAAACAACGATCGCCGAGTCCACAACCACACCCACCGGGTCCCGCGCAACTGCAAGTACCAGTGCTGGAGGGCAGAGCTACCGCCGACGTGGCCAGAGACGTGGAGACCCTCCCGGCCAGGCGTGAGACTCTTCCAAAGAAGGCGGAGATGTCGGCAGCGACACTGTCGGAGAAACTCAGGAACTGGGGAATAACTTTCGATGGCACCACGGATCCCATCACCTTCATCCAGCATCTCGAGGAACGAGCAACGGCCTACGAAGTCGACGTGGAGAAGATGCCGCAGGCCATCCCTGGCCTTTTGTCGGACACGGCCGAGCACTGGTTCCGGACGAGCCAGCTGCTAGGAGAATCCTGGACGAAGTTCAAAAAGGGGTTTTTGGATTTCTTCTTGCCGCCGAGGTATTTCCAGCGACTCGAGGATGAGATCCGCACTAGGGATCAGCGTCGAGGGGAGACGTTCAAGCAATATCTCGTCAACATCAAACTGTTGATGCACCGAGCGGGATACAGCGCGGAACAAGAGCTGGAGCGCATCTACGAGAACCTCCAACCGGAGTACCAGATGTACGCCAGGAGGCACGACTTTACCACATTGGAGCAACTCACCAGTTTGGCGGTCAATTTCGAGGTCACTCGGGACCGGAGCACTGGAAGCCATGCCAGGATGGTAGCTGAGCCACAACCCGCGCCAAGGAGGAGCGGATACGAGCCACCAGCAGTTCAACAAAATTTCTCGCGAACAGTCGGGCGACCACCCATCCCAGCTACGACCCCACAGGGTCCTCGAGTAGGGAATCTGTCAACGATCACAAATTTCAGGTTTGCGTGTAGGAATTGTGCTCAAGAGGGCCACCAGCAGGCAACGTGCCGCAATCCCAGAGTTCTTTTCTGTTGGGATTGTGGGCGTCGGGGAATACGCACAGTCGAGTGTTGCAGACGCACACAGCCGGGAAACGAGAGGAGTCTTCGCCCACTCGGGGAGCGGACGGAGACTGCCTTCAGGAATCCCCGGAATTAGGAGAGATATTACAGGTGCAGGCTGGTCGGATCATCGCGCAGGTGCAGATCGAGGGGCAGAAGTTCAGCGCGACTATAGACACCGGAGCTAGCAGGAGCTTTGTGAGTGAACGAGTGGTCCAACTCGTTGGGACAACACATAACGTACGGTCGGTACGCACTCACGTCAGCCTGGCTGAAGGCTCCCGCAAGGAGATCACAACGTCTCTAGTCGCCAAAGTCCAGTTGGACCAACGTAGGGTGACTTTTCCTCTACTAGTTCTGCCGTCGATCATGGAAGACGTGCTCTTAGGCATGGACTTCCTCTGTGGCGTATCTGCCACTATTCAATGTGGCCGCGCATCACTGCAGCTAAACCCGTTCTTGTTAACCAGCCCCACCTATAATTTAGCTACGCCGTTGGTTTTGACAAACGCGTTCACTCCGAAAGCAGCAGACCCCATCGAAGCCGCAGAATCCCCACCAGCCAGCAACGAGACAGACCATGCGACGTCAGATACCCCGACCAGTCGCATTTTAGGGCCTCGTGATGACAACGCCGTGCGAAACAATCCGTTTCGACGAAGACAAGCCACCAGGCCAGTGGAGCCGGCAGTGGAACCCGTAGCGGAAAGGCGAGCACCTTCACCAGCCATCCCGGAGCCTAGATCTGACGCTGGAGGAGCACTAGCTGTCATCACCGAACATACGGAGCACGCAGACTTGGAGCCATGGGTGAACCGGTTTCTACAGGAGGAATTGGCTAAATTCGACGGATTGACAGGAGTGTCGAATATCGCGGAACACACGATCACGATGCGGGATGACAAGCCCATCAAACAGAGATACTTTCCGAAGAATCCCGCGATGCAGAGGATTATTGATGAGCAGATCGATGAGCTGCTGCGCAACGACTGTATAGAGCCCTCACGGAGTCCCCACAGCGCCCCGATCGTACTCGTGGGCAAGAAGTCCGGAGAGATGCGACTTTGCGTGGATTTTCGCCAATTAAATGCTCACTCCATTCCAGATGCATACCCGCTGCCAAGGATAACCCACATCTTGGAACGCCTGCGCCATGCCAAATATATATCGACGCTCGATCTGAAGAGCGGATATTGGCAAATTCCTGTAGCCGAGTCTAGTCGCGAATGCACTGCCTTTACGGTCCCCGGGAGGGGCCTGTACCACTGGAAAGTGATGCCGTTTGGCCTCCACTCAGCACCAGCCACATTCCAGCGGGCGCTCGACAGCGTCATAGGACCGGACATGGAGCCCAACGCGTTTGCGTACTTAGATGATATCATCATCATCGGACGCACTCTGGAAGAGCATGTACAGCATCTACAGGAAGTATTCCGGCGGCTACGGAAGGCGAACCTTCGCCTCAACGCAAAGAAGTGCAGCTTCTTTAAGCGCAGCCTGGTATACTTGGGACATGTTATCAGCGAGGAGGGAATTCACACCGACCCCGAGAAGATCTCAGCAGTACGGCAACTGAGCCCACCGACCACGTGCAAGGAGCTAAGGAGATGTCTGGGTATCGCGTCTTGGTATCGGCGATTCGTACCAAACTTTGCTAGCGTCGTGCAGCCCATGTCTCTACTGCTCAAGAAGGGCAAGAAGTGGCAATGGGAGAAGGAGCAGCAGGATGCGTTCGATGACCTGAAGAGTAAACTGACGGAGGCACCGGTTCTGGCCTGCCCTGATTTCAACGAGAAGTTCGTGTTACAAACGGACGCCAGCGACATCGGCCTCGGAGCAGTGTTAACCCAGACAATCCAAGGGGAAGAACGAGTCATCGCATTTGCCAGCAGACGCCTCATCGCTGCAGAGGAGAACTATTCCGCCACGGAAAAGGAGTGTCTGGCTATCATATGGGCCATCAGGAAGCTCAGATGTTACTTGGAAGGATATCGATTTGAGGTGATAACCGATCATCTCGCTCTGAAGTGGCTCAACTCGATTGAGAATCCCACCGGCCGCGTAGCGCGCTGGGCGCTAGAGCTCCAGCAGTATCAGTTCGATGTCACCTATAGACGCGGGAGCCAGAACGTCGTCGCTGACGCACTTTCTCGACAGCCTTTAGAAGTACTACAGATGATCCAGGAGGATAAGCCGGAGAGTACATGGTACCAGCGGATGGTGAAGCTTGTACAGGACAGACCTGAGGATTACCCGGACTATGTATATGAGAA